CCAGCGAATTCTCTCTTGCCCGGAGCTTGGTGTGCTGCGATAAACGATGCAAACCAACCATGGCTTCAAGTTGACTTTGCAAATAAAGTTACTTTAACCCAAGTAGCCACTCAAGGCAGATTTTATGATGGCGATGCAGTGGGTCCCAGTTTATTTCACTGGGTGAAAACTTTCTCTTTGAATTACAGCCTCGACGAAGGGATGCATTTCAAAGCTTATGAACAGTTTGATGATGTAAAGGTAAAATCAGAGTTAATAAAAGTAGTATCATATTACTTTCCATCCTAATTTGTGATCTACAAGTCTCCTATTACCCAAATTACAAGCTATATCAAAATATCCTTTCCTAGTTTTTCATCAGCTACGATTGTTTGAAGCTCGAAATATTCGAAACTTGCAGGGTCCTCTCGACAGCAGCTCATTGTAACCCTTAGTTACATTAATGGTTCCCACAGTTCCCATGTTGGAACAAATTTAAACTTCATAACTGATGGTTTCCTTCAGGAAAAGCCCTTTTAAAGTTCATTCTTGGATACAATGTCCCTGTTCTTGAAAAGAAAAAAACATGTCCTCAGCTCATTCCAGGGTGCATGTTCTTGGACACAGTGTCCATATTCTTGGAAGTTCGTTTGCCCTAAAGGTATTCGTGGAGGAGATCCGCTTCGGTCCTCATTAAAAAATGTCCACCGTTACATCCCTCTGCAGATATTTCACGGTAACTGGGATAGTAACACTGTAGTTTTCAACTCCATAACACCTGTGATCTACACACGCTACATTCGGATTCTGCCAAGATCGTGGGAGGGGACTGCATGCATAAGAGCTGAGTTCTTCACCTGTCATCATGGTAACTTGATAAAATACATCGTTGCACTTTGTAGAAAATGAAAATAGTTAGTTACATTTTTTCGTCGAATTTCTTTCTAAACATTTTCGTGCTAAGCGATCAGGGGCATAGCATTCGCTTGACCAAAAGCCTGTTCACAAGCCATGTTTAATGACAAAGGCGCTAAGAGGTAAGAGAGGATGCGACAGTTACATTTCTACTCTTACGAATAAAGACAACGCTGTCACTGTTACTGTGATGTTGAATCAGATGAATGATATGGCACAATTACGGTATAAAAGAACCTACATTTATAGATTTAAGAACAGTTCTCAAAGATAAACCAACACTGAAATTATGTTCAAGCCACTCCGTTTTCAAAACAACTGTTCGTTGGAGAAAACTACAAATCAGGTAAAATAACCGTATTGACTAATAGACACGAGTTACAGGTAAAGGATAAAGGAAAATGGGAAACAATTCATGTCTTCGTAACTTTGTGCCCACAAAGGGTTTTCCTGCCATCTTGTCTTTCACTAAAAACGTCTGATATGTCTTTATCTAGAATTCACGTTGGAAAAAGTGAACATTACGTCCTCTATTGCAAGCTCAACTGGTGTCGGACTCCAATGGAAGCCACCGGATCCACTCATGTTGGGTGAACATGTACAGGGCTATGTGATAGAAATCGTTGATTTGCTGAGAGGAGAAAGTTTTAACTACACGGTTAACTCGTCCATGACGAGTGCAGACCTGAACATTCTGAAACCATACACGCCCTATGAATTCAAAGTTTATGGTTTCACAAGTTCATGGGAAGGAAATATTACCGATGTTATCAGCTTAAAAACTCAAGAAGATGGTAGGTTGAATTGAATAATACATCTTAAATATTTTGGAGGCTGATTGGTACGAGACCTCTAACAACTTCCTGAGCATGAAATGATTAAGTAGAACAGCTAGACCCCCTGGGTGTTGTGCACGTGCATCGCCGGTAACTCTGACTCATCATTTCGTTTGATCACATTGAATACAGTTGCTTCTAACTCATGTACCAGCCGGTATATATAAACCAATGGCCTGACTGTTCCCCTTGACATTTGTTTCATTGGTTTATCTGTGCTCAACAAGAGATGATAAACAGCCCTTTCGGGTCGCGTTCTATCATGATCGAGCTGATACGGGAGTGAAACCATCTTCTAAGTCATGTTCCATTGAAGAGTAACGAAGAAATTAAAGTTCTAATCTGGGTCAGTTATTTCAAAGAAATAATTTCTAGTTTTTTGGATACGCTTTTTAGCAACAATTTAATAAAATCCATGATAATGACCTTATACCAATGAATTTTCAATATTGACTCAATGCTTGTGTAAACTTAATAGCTCCCAGTGAACCTCCAAGAAACTTCACTATTCAACACACCACTAGTTCAGAACTAACCTTCAAACTGAAACCAGTCGACCAGTACCATATCAATGGGGTACTCCGGGGGTACAAAGTCACCTATGGTAAAATCAAATCTCCAAATCACACGTGGACGACCCTTGTTATCAACGCTACTCACAGAAGGCGCAGGAAAAGAAGCACTGAAAACGAGACTTTAAGCTTCGTTCTTACAAATTTAAAGCGTTACACCACTTATACAGTCACGGTGTTAGCATTCACTGTAAAAGATGGCGTTCCAACTCTGGCAGCAAACTTTACCACAGCACAAGATGGTATGACACATTGCGTAGGAATACGAATGAATCTTGAATTAATTTTACAAGATGAATGGTTTGGTAATGAGAGTTATGATAGGCATGACCTAAATTTGATTACCGAACGACATATCACCATAAATTCCAACTGATACTTGATAAAAAAACTTGTACCACTTATGTTTGCATTCAAAGGATTTCCACCGAATTCAATTCTCATGTAGAGGCGGTATTTTTCACATTTATAAGAATTCTTATAAGAGGAGCAACTCGAGTGCAAATCACCTTTTTTTTTCATTTTGTTGGTTTGTTTCTTTGCCTTGATTAGAACCATCTGGGATGAATTGATCCACTAAATAAGACTTGTGTCTATTGTGGAGTTTCGCAATCGATATACGAATTCTATTGAACCGCATGAAATGCACTTTTCTCTGTGTATTCATTCTGAGTGATTATGACAGTAACCATTCTTTTTTACGCTTCAGTACCAGATCATCCGCCGACAAATGTGACCGCGTTCAACACCAGTTCTACAAGTATTAACGTCACCTGGCAGCCCATTCCTCCAGATCACACGCGTGGGATTATCCTGAAATATTACGTTAAATATAGAAGACATGATAAACCAAATGATAACGTTTCCATTGCCACAGTAAACAGTACAGAGCTACAAGTGGAACTGAAAGGATTAGGAAAGTACAAAGAATATTTCATACAAGTCGCTGGAGCAACGGTGGTTGGTTTGGGAAATTATTCGGGACCTGTTTTTGTCCGAACCGAACAAGACTGTATGTAATCCATTTCGGAATACGCACTTTTTTTTCTGTGCTGAATGCGTTGACCACCTTACAGCTGGTTGTTATAAGAGGTCTTTAAGAACTACTTGATGATCTACTCTGTATGTAATAGAATAAGTTAAAAAAGTGTTAAAAAAAATTGTTAGATTCTGCAGCAACGCTCAAAGTTGGAAGCTAGGCTACAATCGCCAACAAGGTGTACTAAGGCAAAGTGCTTAAATATGTCTGTAATTGAAAATTAGAATTAATGAGGAGAAGAATGAAAGGAAAAGTAGAGAGTAAAATTAAAAATAACCTAAAGTTTGTTTACTCAACTAAACAGCTTTATCCACAACTGTGGCAAGAAAATCCATTATTGATGGCTTTTGAAAATAAAGTTAACAGTGGATTTTTAGAAGAACAAGTGCCACCCCACAACTTAAACCATTGCTCAAACAAAGTGGGTTCTAAAACATTTATTTTCAGCATAGCAATGGAATCTTTTTCCAAACCAAATTTTTGTTTTTACCTCAGTCCCAGATGAGCCGCCAATCAATATCACTGCCAAAGGAATAGAACCCACTGCATTAAGAGTCCATTGGTTTCCTGTGCCTGATGAAACCATTAATGGTATTGGCATCGGTTACAAGCTCACTCTAATTCACATAAACGGAACCAGTGTAAGAAATTTCACAATCAATGCCTCAGCCCTCATGATAGACATCGCTGGTTTAGAAATATGGACGAATTACACCATTAAGATGAAAGCTTTCACTGTTATGGGAGATGGCCCGTGGAGTGACTTCGTAAAAGAACATACTGACGAAGAAGGTAAACCACGAGAGAGCAGCTCATTAGTTAAATCACGCCAAACTATATCACCGTAGCATTTTGTCTTAAAAGAATCCCAGATTTTGTGATTAAAGAAGTTGAAATGCATGCAAACTCGGGATTTTCTTACCACAATTCTATAGTATATTCAACTACAGAATGTTGGGACGCATTCTTTTTTACACGATATTTCCAAGTGGCATATTTAGGCGAGAACCACACTAAAAAATCATAATTCAGTCGAGTGAGCATAGAGGAATAATTTCTAAATCTTTTTATGCTCTACAGCTCCATTCAAACCTCCAGCTAATTTGACGGGACAAACAAAAAGTTCGACATCGATCTTTGTTCAGTGGAGTTCACTTGTTCTACCCAACCTCCGGGGAATTCTCCGAGGTTACACCGTTTATTACGAGGAAGCGCCAAGTTCCGTTCATCCGATTGTGTTAAAAAACGTGTCAGTTGACATCTCTGTAACTCAAGTTGAGCTTACAGGCTTATACAAGTTTACTGAGTACCATATTTGGGTAAAAGCGTTTACGACTAGCGAGGGAGTGCCGAGTAACACCATATTTAGAAAGACACAAGAGGACGGTAAGTTTTTTCCTCTTCAAACTGTCTTTTTAAGTATGCATTGCAGACAAGTTTCTTCCTTCAAATTCAATTCAATCACTAACTTGTTGACGTTTTGTTACCAACAGCTCCGGATCGACCTCCATTATAGATCACATACTCGGCACCAAGCTCTACCAGTCTATTTGTCGAATGGGGTGCAATCCCTCCGCAGTTTAAAAATGGCATCATAAGAGGATTCAAAGTTCACTTGCATGAATTTCCACTTAATGGCATAATAGAGGAGAGGGAAGGTCAACCACTTGCACGCTGGATGATTTTTGATAACTTAAAAAAATTTGCTTTCTACTATATTCAAGTTCGTGCCTTCACAACTGAAGGATATGGACCTGAAAACAGTCTCACAGCGCTAACGGGTCAAGACGGTATGTAACTTTTGTATGCTGTGACGTGATTGAATGTAAGACCGGAAGTTCATATTACGTACTGGGATTTCAGTGTCACAAAGAGCATATCAATTGTTCCTCGTCGTCTTTTACTGATATCCATTAAAAATTCTACTTTCCAGTCCCTAGCAAACCTCCACAGAGTATAACTACTGCAAGTCACGTAACATTGACAAACATTCCAGTTGCCTGGCAACCAATCGATCCAGATCACATCAATGGCATTTTACGTGGCTACAAGATTAGGTACCAGGCCGTTGAGATTGGCGAGGAGTCAGTTGAAGAAGAGCCTATCGGGGAGCAGATAGTGAATTCCTCTACTTTGTCCTTGGTGCTGACAAATCTTGAAATTTTTACCTTGTACCGGATTGATGTTGTTGGATTTACGATCATGGGCGACGGCCCACCGGTCACGGATTATGCAGGTTTGTCACATTCCTCCCGAACTGGCTCTGGGATGTGGTATAACATAGCATAGTATCTCTAATTTAAAAAAATTATGATTATTTACAGAAACTTGTCGCTGTCATAAACGTCTCACAACGAGTTGGTATGAATTTCAACCATATGTCCGATTGTCTGAAAATGGCCTCCCAGATGGACTTATTCCACCTATCCTTAGTGATCTAACAGTTGCATGCTGTGAAAGCTGTCAATCACATGGCAAATCTTACGTGGACATGAATTCAAATGGGTTCAATGACTCAGCCATGCTACCCAGTCTCCGTGCACTAAGGAACAGTATCGAAAATCCCACAGACTTTTTCTTTCCGGTTTACGGCTTCAAAGACCAGAAACAATTTGCCAAACAGTTTGGTTATCAAGGAATAGGTGAGTCACCTGGCATGGCGTTTATAATTAACACCAACTCCCAAGATAATATGCCCAACGCTATCCTGGTGAACATTACGTCCTGTTGGCCAGCGGTCATGCTGGCTTTGGTTATCACTTACCTTGCAGGGCTGGTGGTGTGGTACGTGGTGAGTTTACCATTTTCTTGCATTGCATAACGAGTGAAGATTGTAAGTAGTACAACAATGAGAGTTACGAAGAGAGTCTGTGAGGTTAACTCCTGATCAAAAATGAGGATTTTTCTCATCAAAAGATCAGAAATGCTTCGCAAAATTGGCATTAGCTTGTTCCAATACAATTCCAGTATTGTTCCCAACGACAGAACACAAACCTTTGATGATTTGGTCATTCCTGGTTTCTAAATTTCCATCGCAAAGGAAAGCTTAAATAAGTGTTCCACTGTCTCCGTACATCCCATTTTTTTTTGTCTAGTCAAAGTTGTCATTGAAGAATTTTTAATGTTTACTTCCCTCCCGCCTCGATTGGCTCCGCTATTTTGCGGTTAGGGATTGTTACTTTTGTACTTTTTATTCTTAGAGAATAAAAATTTTTTGTTGCTGTTTTTGTTGTTGTTGTTGTTGTTGTTGTTGCTGTTGACAGGCTTAATCAGCAAAGAATCGTTAGAAATGAAATGAAACTAATCACTCTGATTTTAACGATTTCCCTTTCTTTTATACCTGTAGGAGTCGGAGACCAATCCCAAAGACTTTCCACCATCGTTTATAGAGGGGGCGTATGAAGCCTTTTACTGGTCATTTGTATCCATGACAACCGTTGGGTGAGTCTCAATCAAGTAACCTCTAAACTGAATTCGAGACTTAAGTCAACACTTAAGGTAAATATTGTTGTGGAAACTGAATTAAGTCTCCTTCAGAGAAATGGACCATGATCTAGGAGCCTCCAAAATTTATACCTTATCTAAGACAAGTTTGTAAACTAACGTTTACAGATACGGTGATCGTGCACCCATAACCATCACAGGAAGAATTCTGGCAATAGTTGTCATTTTGTCCGGGTTAGTAATCTTTGGAATTGTAAATGGCGCCATGGCAACGGCCATTACAAGTGTTACTTTGGAAACAGATTACAAAATCTACGGAACCAAGGTAAAGTAGAAATAGAGAAAACGAGTTTGATATTGACATACCCACGTGGCTGTGAGTATGTCATACCCACGTGACTGTGGGTATTTTATCCGAAAGTTTCACGTTTGGATAAAACTCAAACCAAAAGCGGCTCTCACTCTAGAATACTTAGATCTATGCCGATGGTATCTGTCTGGGATGGAAAACACACTGATGTGCTTCTTTTCTAATTTTCTCAGCAAATGAAAAATCGCGCTATATTACAATTGAGTAATTTCAATTCCTTGCCCACCTGATTAATTCATGTAAAAAGGGTGAAGAGAAGTGTCAACTGACATCATTCCCATTGACCATCTGTTTAGAAAAACGTTTCTGCTCAGTATACTCATTATTTAGGTCCCTACTACCAAAGCGCTTTTTTATCCTTTTGAGCGAAAGAGTAAATGAAATGGGAAAAATGGGAAAACACAAGGGCAGATTACTGGGGTGCCAAGGTAACGTTTAGGTCCATTGAAGTTAATACGATCTACTTCTCTCAAAGATTCCCATGCAATACACCACTAGGAAAGTGTGCCCGGGTTTTCAGAGTAATAGCCCCCTGTTTTCGTCCATGTAGAAGAAAGTAGTTTTCATTTCTACACGATCATATGCACACAGTGACGATTAGGAATTTCTAATTAAAAAGCGCTACGAGGCATCCATATTACATTGTATTTTCGGATCCTCTGCAGGCAGCGGCAATTGAAGGTACTCCTGAATATCGAATGGGAGTAAGGAAAAATGCAAACATGGACAAAGGTAACACTAACACCACCTAAAACGATTGAGGGTATTTACTGTTGGAAGAAGGAATGGCTAATAATATTGGTAGGGCTATCAGCAGCAGCTTATAACAAGCCAAAAAAGGACCGCAAACAGTCTCACCACCTACAAAAGCCTCAGCCTCGTTCTCAGGGTTTCTCATCTCCTCGCTCCCACGAGCGAGAGAGGGTCGGGAAAATGAGAGGTCCTGAGAACGAGGTTGACAACAGCCCCAGCGCGGGGAGCAAAGGTATGGATGGATACCCACGATTGCCAGGGCAAGAGGCTTGTAAATTGTAGGGAACGACGCTGACCGCCATCACATGGCAGGGGCGAAACCTAATCGTTATTGCATTTATGCAGTGAAAATAGTATTAGTGACAAAGGTATGTTTTAAGTACGTATGATGCACGATCCTCGCAGTAGAGAGCGCCATTTATGCAATAGCGAGAATCAGACCTGAAAAAAATCAGGCCTGTACGGGATTCGAACCACTGACCTCTGCGATACTAGTGCAGCGCTTTACGTT